AATGAGGAACCTTTACTTTCTAATTTCTCCAAATGTAGAAATTATTTTAGAAAATATTTTAATGAAATTTAATTATTTTCAGGTCACCATTGTTACAGACCAGTGTGGTTTTTCTTTATTTGCTTATCAAGATGATAGAGAAAAGGCGGATATAGAAGATGGTGAGTTACAAGATTTTTCTTTCTTTTATAAAATTAGATTAAATTTGAAAAAATTGATTTATTTGACTTGAATTAACTTAAATTGTTTTACTCAATTATTTTTGATTTCTGCTTAAATCTCTGTGATTCTAAAATATATATTTATTTTAATTTTATCAGTGGTCAAAGAGAAGCTTATACAAATACCAAATGAACCAGTTGTAGTACGCAATTGTGAATATCAAAACATATGCTCAAGGCTTTTGGCTATTCTAGCCTTGCCAGGTATAGAAATTTTTTTTTAATATTCATTTGATTTTTTAATCCAATATTTATGTAAAGGTAGACTTTTGTTTTCATTCAAATCATCAAAGAAATTTGATTTAAGATATAATCCACTTGGATATAATATAATTTAAAATATGATCTTGATATAATTTAAAATGTAATCAACATGGTTTAGTAATTTGGTTTATTTAAAGTGAGCATATACAAGACTTTTTTTTCTTTTTTTTTTTTTTGTACTTTCAGTGTTTATAGTGCAAATAAAAAAGCTTTTATTGATTTTGTGTTGACACTCAAAAAATGTAAAGATATGATTTAAAGAATATCTTTTTAATTAAAATTATTCTGCATTTTCTAATCAAGATATCTTCTAAAATTGTTTGATTAAAGCTCTTAACAATTGCAAATTTCCCCATCAATTTTGCTTCATTCAGTTCACATGACTTAGATTATTTAACTTAGTTTTACTTTTCTTTTTATTTAAGAATTCCAGTAGTTGAGTAAAAATGAATTTTCATGAAATAAGTAGAACATTCAGTGTGTAATGAATTCACAAACATCCTTGTATTATCTTTATTTTTCAGAGGGCTACTTTTCAACTCAGTTCAACATGTGTTATTGTGAGACATGTCATAAAATACGTGGTGATGAATTGTACTACAAAAGAGGTGACCCTCCAAAAGAGTATGCAGTACCATGTGGTTGGTGTCGTTTCTCACTCAGGTAATAAAATTTTGTAAAGATATATATATATATAAAAGTGAACATAGAAGTCAACACTTAGAGGCGACAGTCTGTTTCATGCTGTATGCAATCATCAGGCCACATATGCTGTTATTTTTCTCGGCTATTTATATATATATATATATACGGGTTAGTGGTGCATTGTGGGTATTCTATTATGGAGGTTATTTTTTACCGGAAGTCGCTTTATTTATTTGGGTCAAATTATATTGCTCGTTTTTATTTTTTTGTTTCTTATTTTATTTATTTATTAACGTAGTAAAAATTTGTTTATATCACGTATTTAACAGTTTTGGTTTGAGAATTTAATTAAAGCTATTTGTTCAATTTTGGGGTTGGTTGTTGTAGTTCATTCTAACTATTATTTTTTTGGCGGGAACAGTTTTTAATTTGGGATTGGTTTGTCTATTTATTTACTTGGATGAATTTAGGTCAATTTATTTGTATATTTTCTCTTTTCGGTTTTTAAGCAACATAGTATTTATTTATTTATTTTATTTTATTTATTTATTTTTTTTATTAGTGTATTTGTTTGTTTTTATTTTATTTTTTCCGTTTTTCATTTTTTAGTTTACGTAGTAAAAATTTATTTTCATGCCTGCATTTTGAGATGAGCCCGGATCTTTTATTTAATAATTTATTTTGGTCGCTTAAAAACCGAAAACCGAAAAGAGAAAATATACAAATAAATTGACCTAAATTCATCCAAGTAAATAAATAGACAAACCAATCCCAAATTAAAAACTGTTCCGCTAAAAAAAAAAATAATAGTTAGAATGAACAACAACCAACCCCAAAATTGAACAAATAGCTTTAATTAAATTCTCAAACCAAAACAAAACTGTTAAATACGTGATATAAACAAATTTTTACTACGTTAATAAATAAATAAATAAATAAAATAAGAAACAAAAAATAAAACGTTAAATATAATTTGACCTAAATAAATAAAGCGACCCCGGTAAAAAAATAACCGCCATAATAGAATACCCACAATGCACCACTCTGTTTGTATATATATATATATAAATAGCCGAGAAAAATAACAGCATATGTGGCCTGACGACTGCATATAGCATGAAACAGACTGTCGCCTCTAAGTGTTGACTTCTATGTTCACTTTTATATTTAAACACGCTCTCTGATGATATTGAGCACTTTATCCCATAAATATAGCACACCTTAAGACTATATTTTTTTATATATATATATATATATATATATATATATATATATATATGTATGTATATATATACTGTCTTCAGCAAAAACTGTTACATATCATTTTCATCCTATTTATAGAATTATGATTATTTCCAATAATAATTATCATTAAGATTAATTATTAAATTTTTGTCTTTGGCTGAGAGAAAAAGCATCAAAAGATTATTCCCTACTTAGTTTTCTTTCTTTTCTTTTTTTCTTTTTTTTTAATAAAACTCACAAATAACTAGTTAATTAGCAGTTAATCTGGATTTTTTATTTATTTTATTTTTTTTTTTTTTTTTTTTTTTTACTTAATTTAAATTTGCAACAAATTATGCAGCACTTAACCTCTTAATATAAGTGCCATATGGCTATAAAAAGGTATTGTTAGTTATTTATAACTAATTTGTTTAAATAATGCACTGACTATTTCTTGTGTCATGTAGCAATAATTGTAAGTAAAATGATGCACTAAAATAAGTAACCAAGTAATCGTTTTAAGTTCTCTCAGTATCAGTGACATTTAAAATTGTAGTGGCTAGATTGGGTTAGAAATAGATTTATCATGCAAGTTAGAACAATTCTTATTCAAAATTAAGCAGGCATACAATACTTTTCAGTAAAAAATTAGTAAGGTGATAGATACTTCAAAGCAGTATATAGATTTACTGGGTAATAGCAAAAGAAAAAAGAAAGGACCTGGTATTTATCTGCATATCCACTCACAGAATATGCTACATGAGATTGGTAAGAAAAATTGTTTTAGTACCTTCAGCATTTCCCTATTGGACCCTTTAAGGTATCAGGAATTGACAATAACTTTTCTCTTTAAGTGCAGTGAGTGAGGAAGTTCTTGACTGAATATAAGCAAACGGTATTCTTGAATACAACCATAAATGTATAGATTATAAGAACATTTTTTGAAAATGGCAAAAACAATTTTTCTTCTTTATATTGAACATAACTTATTTTTATTTTTTAATCTGTTTCATTTCAGATTGCCTTGTAAAAGCCACAGTTTGAATATGTTTGATAAATGGCATTCAGCTTTTTATGGAACACGATTAGAAGCTGTTCGGAAAGTTTTGGATTGTGGTGATTTACACCGATCAAGTGAGTGTATTTGAAATTGACTAGTTGTATTTTATAAATACTTTTTATTTTTAGTTACATTTGTCCAAAATTAATTTCTTTGCAAATAACTTTCCATTCAAGCAGTTTAGTGAACTTGTATAATGTATGTAAGTATATATATATATATATATATATATATATATATACACACACACACAAGTGTGGATGGTTCTGCACAAGCCTTCACCACTTTAATCAAATCACTTGTGTGGGTTTTCTGGCGGTTTACCTTGATTCATTCATTCTTATCTGCAGAATTCACTTGCAAGATCCGCTGACGAGATAGTGAGGGCAACAGGGTCAGGTAAAAGATGTTACTGGCTTAGCCTTGGGGCAGGTAGAATGGAGAACAACGTGTTTTAGTGGACTCAGCAGTTTTAAATCTGCTTGTCTGAATCATCTTCAAGAAGTGAGAGCAAGATCTAAGAAGTCAGCCAATCTGACAGTGAGCTCATCCCACAATCCTTACTCTTACTCCATATGCAGCCTCCTTTGTAAATCACTAGCTTAAGTGCCACTTAAGATTATTGCACAAAATTTCATAACTGAATCAATATGTCAGATCCTCATGTGTCGAAACCGACAGGAGAGTCCATTATTTATTTATTTATTTATTTGTATAATATATGTATGGTGGACTGTCCTATTATGAATGATAAATGAGTCTTCATTGGATGGTGCCTTTCATTTTACACTTATGCATGCTAGCAGGGCCTATTGTGGATAAAATCAGGTAAGGGAAGGGTGTATTTAATTTGTGCTTTCTTAAGTGTGGATTAGCCCAACCTTGCTGTGAGCAACAATGCTACACTGACAGATGAAATTTGTTAAAGCAGGATTTTGATAGCATCTCTGCTTCAGAGCTTGACAAACCTGATCACAATGCTTCAGTCTACTGTCTTCAAAATGAAACCTGTCTTACGCCACTCCTTTCAGTCTGATGCTTGGGCTTCCCAGGTTTTCAGATCAAAGTTGAGGCATTACAAGTTGTCTTTCAATTTGTCTTTGTAGCATAAAAGTGGATGTCCAACTGAACTCTTGAAGTTTGGTAGTTGTCCATACGGCACCTTCTTTGGAAGCCTATGCTTATCCATTCTCACAACATGACCAGCCCACCTAATTTGTATCTTTACTAGAATGGTTTCAATGCCTGTGATGTTGTTACATTTCTTCAGTATTGCACTATTCTTGACCCTGTCATCCCATCTTATATCAAATATAGCACAAAGAAAGGCATCAAGTTGATTTATATGTTTGCAGTACAGGGTCCAAGTTTCAGCACCATAGAGAAGGGTCAAGAGAATAACTGAACTCTATATGTCAATCTTTGCTCTGAGAGACCTGTCTTTGGTGTTCCCTAACTTATGTTTAAGTTTACTGAATGCTGTGCTGGCTTTAGCTATTCTGGATTGGATTTCTCTGTCTCTTTGTACAATCAATGAATACAGAAAGATTTGTAAGAGATGAATTGCCTAGTACTGGCTGTTACATTACCTCAGTCATCTTTATGTTGATAGTGAGTCCAAATACTTTCACTGTTTCAGAGAATTTCTCAAGGATAGTTTGAATGTCTTCTAGACTGTGTGCTAATAGAGCATCAGCATCTGCAAAGAGAAGATCACGTACTAGCTGCAGACCAAGTTTTGATTGTTTTAAAACATTGCTGATTGCATAGATCTCCACTTGTTCTGAACTCAACATTGACTCCTTCACTTCAGTCAGAGAATGCTTTTTCAAGCATAGCAGAAAAGAAAAGTGCAATGAGAAAAGGAGCAAGAATGCAACAACCTTGCTTTGTACCATTGGAGATGAAAAAAGCACCCGATAACTCACTTCCCAATCATACAAAGGCTTTCATCACCTAATTTTGACAAACCTTTCCAAAGAGCACTTCAATATACAGTATCAAAAGCCTTTGTGAAGTCTACAAAAACAACAAATCCCTACTCCAGAAAAATTTTTAATTGACTTTTCTTTGATATTTGTTTGTATTTCTGAGATGAGGTATTATGTACACTATTTACATTATTCGGACTATTGTCCTCATCTTTGTCACCATATTTATTACAACGTTTTGGCCTTTCAGTATCTGTCTATATTTCTGAAATGAGGTATTATGTACACTATTTACATTATTCGGACTATTGTCATCATCTTTATCGCCATATTCATCACAACGTTTCGGCCCTTCAGTATCTGTCTATATTTCTGAGATGAGGTATTATGTACACTATTTACATTATTCGGACTATTGTCCTCATCTTTGTCACCATATTTATTACAACGTTTTGGCCTTTCAGTATCTGTCTATATTTCTGAAATGAGGTATTATGTACACTATTTACATTATTCGGACTATTGTCATCATCTTTATCGCCATATTCATCACAACGTTTCGGCCCTTCAGTATCTGTCTATATTTCTGAAATGAGGTATTATGTACACTATTTACATTATTCGGACTATTGTCATCATCTTTATCGCCATATTCATCACAACGTTTCGGCCTTTCAGTATCTGTCTATATTTCTGAAATGAGGTATTATGTACACTATTTACATTATTCGGACTATTGTCATCATCTTTATCGCCATATTCATCACAACGTTTCGGCCTTTCAGTATCTGTCTATATTTCTGAGATGAGGTATTATGTACACTATTTACATTATTTGGACTATTGTCATCATCTTTGTTGCCATATTTATCACAACATTTCAGCTGTTGTACACTCTGGCCACCTTCAGGTGGTTAGAATGTCGAACTGAACCCTTTATTTCGCTTGCTGGGGTAGACTGTTCTAGTTCCACATGCCATGTCTAATGGATGTCAGTTATCAGTTATCTCTTGTTAATCCCCTCTCCAAGTTTTCCCCCACATTAACCAGGTATTGAACTCACACTTTTTGGGTCCTGTCACTGGATCTAACTAATGCCTTTATCCACTGTACCACGTGTCCTTGGCAACAAAGATGAGGATGATAGTCCAAACAATGTAAATAATGTTTTATTTCATAGTTACTGAATTTTCCTACCTTGTCAAAATTACAGAATTTTCCATTACCGATTTTTCGTGAAAAGAGACAATTCATGTTGCAGGTCAAGTAGCAATTATTTGTCTGAGGACAACTTCTTTCCAAGTGTCCAAAAAAAACAGGACACACAAGTGCATATATTTTGAACCAATATAGAAGTGCTAGAATTGCAACAATTGAGGAATTGGGCAAATATCCAGAAATGTGTGAATTATTTTGCAAATTCCACACAGCCATTCCTTCATCAGCATCTGTTGAGACCCTGTTCAACATTGGAGGAGAAATTTTTCGAAAAAACCATCACAGCTTGAAAGACAGAAATTTCAAAAAATAACCATTACTAAAGTTAAACTCCAGCTTATGATAAAATAAAATTTGTAAAACTAAATTTACTGTTTGTTGCGGTAATTCTTTTGGAGTTAGGAATGGCCTATATTTTTATAAGGAAATACATTGGGGGAACTTTGGTATGTTTTTATAGATAAAAAGTATGCTGACAAGCAAAATGTTGGTTCTTATTAAATTTGAGTATTGCATATGCAGCTTATTTGTTGCAAAAATGTCCAGTATTTATGAAAGATATGTTTTAACAATGTAGCACTGAAAAAGGGCCTCCTTTTTTTTCTTTTTCTTTTTTTATGGAGTTTGAGCTGGAGCAGCTCCCTTTTTGAAAACAGGGAGCCATCTCCAATTTTCGGAGTGGGAGCAGCTACCAAAATAGTGGAACATGTAAAGCCCTGTGTATATGCATGCATGCATGCATGTGTGTGTGTGTGTGTGTATATATATATATATATATATATATATATGTGTATATATATATATATATATATGTGTGTGTGTTTTTTTTCCCAGATTTGGTTAACAAACTATATTAAGTAAAATCTAGATGCTTAATTATTCTTTATTTTTAAGAAGCTATTTCTTTTTTGCTATTTACACTTAACATTTTTCTATTTATTCCACAGATGAAATTTTGGCTGCAAACAATATTTTACTTGCCCAGTCCTTCCCTTGTACAGAAAAGTCTAAACCTGATGATTGCCTAAGCAGACAACTTTTCCTGTCTCCAACTATACGATATGCTGGTTCCAAATATTTTGCATCTAGGCATAAGTAAGTTTAAACATGCAACTTTTATCTGAAGTAACTGTTTTTAAGTAAAGTTGATATCCTATTAATTCTTGCTTTGACACATTTTGCATCTGACTCAATTTGTCAATCTGCCACTAGAGTTCTTCAATTCAGATTGCAGTTTGAACTGTTATTTATCAATTTAAGCTGAATAAATATACAAACACAGAAACCTAACTTTTAGTGTTTACTTTAGCATAAAATTAAATACATGTTTGACTTTTCATAATTCTATATTTTTATTCTGTGATATGCAGTTTTCCCTGAAAAAAGCTGCAACATTGTATAGAATTGTTCCTTTATTTTAAGACTTGCTTATTAATTACAGAGGAATTTTTCTCTTTGCATTTCTGTAGAAAAATGCATTTTACATAAAGGGATCTTAACCTAAAAATGTCTTGAGCATACTTTGATGCCAGTACAGTAATTTATAATTTCTTTAAAACACTGGTAGCATACTTTTACATTTCAATGTTTTCTTTCTTTAGAGTTTTTTTTTTTTTTTTTTTTTTAAGTCATTGTTGGCAGTTGTTGCTTTTAAAAAACTAGAATGATGTTTGGAAATTACTCATTTTGTATCTAGCAAGTTTGACTTGGCATTTCCCAAGTCAAAATGGTGTTAGTTTTAATTGCTAATTTAAATTCTGTGAAAAATTTCTAAATACAAATTTAAAATTGTTTTGTTTTTTTGTTTTTTTTTTTTTGTTTTTTTAAGATATTATATATTAATACCTATATTGACACAAATTAAATCTTTTGGCAAACCTTTTTTCCCCTATTTTATAATAGGTTAGGAGCTAGACTTGAGATAATTTTTTTATCCTTTATAAGAAAAATAAACTTAGTTCTATTCATAGTTTTAAATATTGATTTCAAACCTTAAAATTTTCCAAACAAAAATATTAATTTCACATCAGTTTTTATCTTTTACCCTATCATTGTAATGCTCAGGTTCTTTTACATTCTATGATCATTAAGTAAGCAGCTTGGATAAAAAATTTAAAAAAGAAAAGATTTGAACTTTTATCTCTTAACATATTGTGTAGGGCTCTTAATAGAAGTGATTTTGATATAGACAACAACGTCTCATTTTGGTTATGGAAACATTCAAATTTTGTGAAATCTGTTGGATTAATAAAAATCCATTACATTCCTTAAAGAATTCTTTGTTTATATTTGTATATGAAAACATGTTGATATGAAAAATTTTGGGAGATCAATGATGAAAAATTTCACTTAAAGGTACAGTTCAGGCTTTGCCTGACTCATTGGTTCTTTGTAGCTCAATTGGTCAGAGTATATCAGATTTAACGATAGCTCCCTCTGCCCAGAGAGACATAGGTTTGAATCTTGTCAGAGAGTGTAAATTTTTCTTGAATAAGATTGAACCGGCATTCAGGCCGGTAGATGAAAATAAATATACTGTTTAATAAACTGAGCATCTACTCCAATATGAGTATCCACTAAAAAATTGATGTAGTCAATGGAAATTCTGTTCTTGAGGGATGCTGTCAACAAGACCCCTCACAGTAAATGATAGCAGTTTTCTGGAGGTTTACAATGTTGGCCTTGATTCTAATATCCCCAAAGTGCTCTTAATTTTCTAGGTGGTGTTCCAAGTGCACTTCAAACTACCCAGATTAATATTATTATTTCAAACTAGTTTGATCATTCATTCTATTTTTTTTATTGATGAAATGCTTCATGTTAGAGATTGAAGCAACTTGTGACCCACTCTTTCTACTAAGAGAAAGCAAAAACATCCATTTATATACTATTTTATTTATGCAGATTATTTGAATTGCTGCTAAAGTATTTTATTTTTTATATGAAAGATAATTTTTCAACTTTTTTTCTTTTTTGTAAACACAGATTTACAGATCCTAAAACGAAGAAGACTCATCAAGCACAAGTTGCATTCCAAGTATGGGTGAAACCATCTTCTTATAAAGTTGGTCCTTCTTCAATTGGCTCCAATGAGCAGTTTGACCCCAGATTCAGCAATAATGAAATTGAATGGAGTACCAAAGAACGAGGCTCAACAATGCTTGCATCGTTATTAATTAAAGTGGAGTAACAACAACAGAACACAAGTGATTCTCATTCATTTTTTATTGTTTAGAGTTTATCCTTCTGATCTCATTTTTCTTTTTTATTTTGGAAAAGGGGGACTTACAAATATTTTCGCTAAATATTTGGGATTATGCCAAATTTTTCGTACTTATTTAGTTTGTAAGGCTTTTGTCATGTGATGTTACAAGTACAAGTTTCCAATTAAAGAAACTGGATCACTATTAAATGTCCATCAACAAAAGTTGTTATTGCATCTTTATAAGAATTTCTATTTTGTCTTAATGCCATCTTCAGAAACTGGTTGTATAATTTGTTATATTTATTTAAGTACAAATTAAGTTTCTTTTTAAATTATTTTCTGGTATCTGTGAATATGTATGCATATAACTTTCTTTTTTTTTTTTTTTCTTTTATTTATCAGATTTTGTAATTTACCTACCTCTAATGTTGCTAATTTGTTACACTTAATTCCATGCAAAAAAAAAAAAATGTTCCTCTTTGTGGCTGTTAAAAAGCTTCCCCACCGTCTCAAACACTGAAAATTAATTGTTCATAGCCTTTATGTGATTCTATAGGGAACCAAGAAATTCTCCCTCTCTCATATAAATACATTATTTTTAAATTTAATTTTGTAAGTAGTGACACATTTTTATTGTTTGAAATGTTAACTTAGAAGTTTTCTCTTAGTGCATTGTATTTAACAAATTATTTTTCAGATCAGTTTCATGCGCTTATCTTCTGGCTTAAATTTTTTTTATAATGTACCATCATAGTAGCGATATAGTTTTAGTGTGACTACTTTGTATTAGATACTAATGTGCACAAATGCTTTTGTTTTACGTATTCTAATAGCAATAAAATTACCTTGAATTTATGATTACATGAAGTATTGCCAACAGTTATTAATTTTTGATAGTTCTTTCTTAATTTTAGTTTAAATTTAAAGGCTTAGATTTAATATTATGCCAGCTATAAGATTCTTGTAGCTAAAACGGTGAAGCAGTCATTATGTAAAAAAAAAAAAGGTGGAGGGGTTTCCCAGTCCCAAAAGGGGGTTGCTAGTTTCAAGTTTGACTAAATGTTTATTCTTTTGTTTTTAATCCCCAGTTTAGCAGTGGCTTTAGAGTGACATTGACAAGTTGCAAAAAAAAAAAAGCAACTAAAATTAACATAGAAGAAATAGTTTATTTAAATGTAACTAATCAATAAGTAGTCTATAAATTTGTGTGCACATTCCTTAGCAGAAAATTGAAGCCAACACTTAGAGGTGACAGGCTGTTTCATGCTAGGTGCAATCGTCAGGGCACAAGTGTTGTTTTTTTGTTTTTTTTTCCTCGACTATTTAAATATATCGGGCAGGTGCATTGTGGGTCTATTTTGCTGGAAGTCGTTTGTTTAATTATTTATTTATTTATTTGGGTTAAATCATTTTGCTTGTTTTTATTTATTTTTTATTTTTACTTATCTTATATATTTATTTATTTATATTTTAATTGGTGTTTTATTAATGTAGTAAAAATTTGTTTATATCGCTTATTTAAGTTTTGTTTTGGTTTGGGAAGATAATTAAACCTATTTATTCAATTTTGGAGTTGATTGCTGTAGTTTATTCTAACTATTATTTTGGCAGGAACAGTTTTTAATTTTTTTATTACTTCATTTATTTATTTGGATCAATTATCTTTACATGTTTTTTCTAATGGTTACTTTATCGGGATCGGTTTGTTAGTTTATTTATTTATTTGGATGAATTTAGATTAATTTATTTTACTTGCAATCAATCCCAAAATTGAATAAATAGCTTTAATTATTATTTAATATTATTAAATAAGCAATATAAACAAATTTTTACTGTGTTAATAAAACACCAATTAAAATAAATAAATAAATATATAAGATAAGAAATAAATAATTTAACCCAAATAAATAAACAAACGACTTCCAGCAAAATAGACTGCCCATAATGCACCACTAACCCATATATATAAATAGCCAAAGAAAAAAAAGCCAACACTCATGGCCTGATGATTGCATCTAGCATGAAACAGCCTGTTGCCTCTAAGTGTTGATTTCAATGTTCACTTTTATATTTAAACACACTCTATCTGATATTGAACACTTTATCTCCTAAATATAGCACACCTTAAGAGTATATTTCTTTTTATATATATATATATATATATATAGAGAGAGAGAGAGAGGCAGGATATTTTCATTAAGACGTGTCTCATTGAATAATTTAGACAGGTTTTGTCTACTTATTTTCAGTAGGATCCTCTCATATTCATGGACAAGCTTCTTATTACCTCTTATTAAAGGAAGAGAGAAAGTACCATGTTGGTACTTTTTCATTTCTTCTGAGTACTTAGCACAATGTCATCATCAGGGTGTTGTTTTTTCTTAGACAAAATTCTTGTGTTCATCTGAAAGTTAAATTTTTTGACATCTATCAACAGTGATTTTTCTCTATTATAATAGCACCAAAAGGCTTGTTCATGAATATGAAAGGATCATATTGAAAATAAGTAGACAAAACCTGTCTAAATTAATCAATAAAATCTGTTTCAATTAAAACATGCAATATATATATATATATATATATATATATATATATATATATATATATATATATATATATATATTAGTTATACTCATTCGGAAAAAACTTAGGTATTTGGCTTGTAATTGAACAAACCAATGCCCAAGGGAAAATAAAGAATAAAAAAAGAAAGAACTAAAACCATGAAATCGAGGCGAAAACATTTGATCAGAATCCAAGCTCAGAGTCCAAAGAAAAATACCTCCAAAACAAGTAAAGCAAAAGTAACTACATAAAGTGCTCAATACGCTAAGTAGAGCAAACCTATAAACAGGTTTATATTCAAAGTAAGCGCAGGAACTAATTATCAAAAAAATGAAATTTAATATATTAAATGTTTTCAGTTCTTTATGCATAACTATTGTATTTATTAGTTTATTCTTAATTGTAATTTATATTCTTCAGTTTGGATATCTTTCAAGAAGCATAAATAAAATTCATTTGATTATTTTTTTTATTGAGAACAATGTCTTTGGATAAAAACAATATCAGTTTTGTTATGTATTGCTTAAATAGGGACAAAAATTTGTAACTTTATATATAAAATTGGACACTTTTTTTGACATTTTAATACCAATTGACGATAGTCTGTTTCATGCTTCAAATGGCCTGTATATTGCGTTGAAGCATGAAACAGTCACCACTTGGTGTCCGATTTTATATTTACCTATGCTCTCTCTGATATTGAGCACTTTTACCCATCAATATTGCATACCTTAGAACTATACATACACATTTTATATATATATATATATATATATATGGTAAAAAAGAAAAATTCAAAAATGTACTTCAATTAAATGAAAATGATCCATAGATTAAGTGTATATAAAAATATTTTCTGTGCCTCAATGCAAATTTCAAAACGCTAATTTCAAAATTTACTTTTCACATTAGATAAAAAAAATCCTTCTGCAATATCATTTGTTAAATTTATACTTGTAATCTTCCTTTTTGTAAATAAAGTGTCTTTTCTAGTCTGCAAATAAGATTATATTGAAGTTCATCCTAATTTTTCTTCACTGGATTAGCTGATAATCTTTTCTGACAAAATTATGCAATTACTTTTTTCCTAAAATATAATTCAGATAATTAAATTTAAAATAATTGTTTGACACTTTCATGAATTAATAATAAAAATCAGGTTGTCAGCATTATTTCAACATTTTTTTTTTCTTTTAACTTCCCTTAAATTTTCATTTTTGTGCTCAAAATATCCAGTCATCTTGCTTTATTTAAATTTTGCTCTACCTCAGTAGTTATCTCCCTTATTGCCAATTTTCACTGTCATTTTAATTCTCATTCCAACATTTTGAATCTGTTACAGTTTAAATGTAAATGTTGGAAGTTTTCACAAAATATTCTGTGTATATTCATACCTGTAACCTTCTGCCATTAAGTTGCCATATAATGTATAATGGTACATTAAAAAAAAAATAACTAGTCTCAAATGTGCATATACAGAGGTTTGGTTTTCATTTTTAATAATTTGTTTGAATTCACCATTACATTATAGTATACTGATTGAACATGTTCATATGATTTCATATTTGTATTTCTGTTCAGTGTCTCTCAATAAAAAGCAACATTTAATAATTTTGTCAAATTAGATTATTTTTTTTTTTTTTTTTTTTTTCAATTATTATTTTTTAAATATCTATTAATTTATTAATTACTTTGTAGTGAGTTTTTTATATATATATATATATATATATATATATATATATAATTATTGAAGATTTTTATTTTCTTGCTGTAAACTGATCTTTGATCTTTCATAAATTATCAATCTTAGTTTATATATTTGTTGACTGCTAATTATGGTAATGACTATGATAATAATTATCTACAATTATGCCATTAAGAAGCTGGGTTAATAAACAGGCACTTATTTTCATGGCCATTCAGAAAGGTTTTTTTTTTTTTTTTTTTTTTTTTTTTTCGAATATTGATTTCGTAGAACTAAAGAATGGCCAGCTAACTAATCAGTCTGATACAATGAAGGCTAGACTTAGATGTCCAGAGCCCATATAGAGTTTATTAATATAGTCAAGAAAAGAGGCTGTTGTTTTTTGTTTTTTATTACTCCAACCTATTAAAAAAAAAAAAAAAAAATCTGCCAGATATTTTTTACATTCTGAAGTTGGAGATTAGTGAATGGTTAGTAATGAAGGGTCGGTGGATTTTGAGTACAAAATAAGGGGACAGAGTAATGTAGCAAAGAGTCCACATTTTAATAAATTAGTTAAAAAGGGAGAAAAAAGAATGAATGAAAGGAAAAAATTAACTAGCATCTAATTTCTTTTGTGTTGAATTAAAAATATAAGAAAGCAACAGGATGTTAAAAATGCTCTCAAATAATCTCATTAACAAGTCAGTGGTAATTCAAATTTTCCTAGCCCAGAAAATAAAAATTAATTATCAAACTTACTCTTTATTTTTGCTTTTACTGTATTCCTACAAAAAGTCTGTTCAAATCTGCATCCAAATTCAAGTCACTCAATTTTTATTTTGGTATATTAAGATCCTCACTCAACTTCTCTGTTCAGTTTGACACTTTTGACATTCACCTTAATGATTTTCATTTATAAATTGTTATTGATGAATTATATGAAATACTATAGTATAAATAAAGTTATGTATAGATTATATGACTAATGTTTTAGATTTAAAATTTTGTTTGAATAAAATAAATACAAGTGTATAAAAAGTTTTAAAAATGACTGAATATGAACCAGATGAAATATGAAATGCAATAAAAAATACATTAAAAACATATATTCATTAATAGAAATGAATTGAGAGAAATTGTTGTTTTATTTTTCATTCATTCGATTTATATGACATAAAAAATAGTAGTTCTTACATAAACAAGCTTTAGCTTAGTGAAGTACAAGGTTAGATCTGAATTGAGAAAAGGCTGTACTCTTGGAAAATCAATATTCTAACTTTATCTGAACTTCAATAATTAAGCATCTCAAAAGTAACCAAATTTTATAATTATAAAAAATGTTTAATTTTATATTCCACATCTTTTTAAGCTTTCATTTCTAATTTAAATATTTTGTTAGATTTATGCTAATAAATTATAAGTGATTTGCTTCAAATTCATGTTGGCCTTTGTTTGATCAAGTTTTGTAAAACTTGACAAAAAGTGCAAACCAAATTTCAATAGAAAAAAAACTACGGGTAATTAAAATGTTTAGATAAATTTGATTGTGATTTATTTTTATTTTTCTTCAAAATATATTTTGGCTTATGGCCACATCACAGTGAAACACCAGTGCCCATATGATCACCGAAGTTAAGCATCAAGCCTAGTCTAGATGGGTGACCACTTGGGAATACCAGGTGCTGTAAGCTTGTATAGGCAGGTAGTGTAATGGATCATCATCATCATCAGGTCAAGAATTCTTCTCGGATTCTCCTGACTCGTTCCTTCCAACCATCTCAGACATTGATATCAGCAGGTCCTCCAGATAGCATCCAGACTCGTGTACAAGTTGGTCAATGTAGGTGTGATGAGGTCTTCCAACTGATCTTTTGCTATACAATGGATTCCATAGAAGAGTTTCATTCACAAGTTTTGACTTACTTCTCCAGGAGTGACCAGCTAGCCAAAGCCTTCTCTCTCTCTTAGTGAAACTGAGATAGGAGGAAGGTGTCCGTACAGGTGTTTCTTTGGTGAGAGTTTCTTCCACCTGATGTCCAATGCAACTCCTAACATCCTTGTGTATGTTCCATCAAGTGATGCTTCTTTGTTTCATCAGTGTCTATGTTGTTGAGCCATAGAGCATGACAAATTTTACCATGGCCTTAAAGAAGTCTCTCTTAACATTGTCAGAGAGGGAAGACTTCTAGATGGTGCTCTGACCATCAAGGACACCCCCAGGCCTTGCCTTTGCAGATTTTGATGTCTCTCTCCATTGAATGAATGTTGCTACCGAGGTAAAAAAATTTCTGGATGGATTTGTTGTTGTTGCTGGTTTTTCAAATAAATTTCTCCTTGGTTGTAGCTGATAAATCCTATTTTGACAGCATAATGCAGAGATCAATATTACTGGCCTTTTCTTCGATGAGATGGAGAAGTTTGGTAGCCTTATGTCTAACAAGGCAAGGTTATCTGCATAATCTATGCTTATTATTGTTTTTACTTCTTGCTTTTTTAAGGGTGAACCCCCATATCTGTGTTTAGGTCATCAGATATTTGCAGGGTGTAATCTAGGCACAGTGAAAACAGTCAAACCTATCTCCCTGCAAGACTCCCACAACAATGTTGAAAAACTCTGTATCTTCATCAGGAGATCAGACCATTTAGCGAGTAATGGATAATGAATTGGAATTGTTAATCAGAGAGCAGAGTTCTAATTTCTGTTGGATTTCTTATATTCACTAATACACAAATATTTTTGGGAAAGGTATGAATCCACCTTTTCTCCCTCTCAATATGGGTTAATTAATAAGACTAGTCACTAAACCATTATTATCTCAAAAATAAAATTCTTATGATCTAAAAAAATATTTTCCAGCTTTACATAACATGCAAAGGGTTGATAAGCCACAGAAAATGTATAAATCAAAATATATTTTAAATTGGTCAAAGGTCAGTTTATTTAACAATTCCTAATATCAGTTGTACTTTTAAAATGTTGCCTATTTTAAACTTAAGAATTTACAAACTTGAAAAATTTTATTTTATTTTCTTACAAACATGTTGCTTATTTCAGTTTGTTAGATATTGATAGTATGGCAATTTATATTAGTTGATGTTAACTTACAAAATTATTTTTGTAATTACTATTTTATTAATGTTAATCTACATATATATTTTAAACAAGCACACAGTAAATATGATTAATAGAAATTATTCTTTAACCAGTGACAATGTATTTTACTTTGTCATGGATTCTTCAGTGTTTGAAAGACATTTTGGTGATTAACATTAAAAATAATTTTGCAGTTACAAATATTGAATTATTATTACTTTATCAAAAACTCCTTTTTGAAAAATTATATAAACAAACAAAATGGACTTGAAATTTCATCATCTTTAAATGTAAGCGCTCCCTTTGATTTCCTTTTGAGGAAATCAAGCAAAAGCAGTTCTTTTTAGATTGAGTAAAAATACAGGGAATCACTAAAAAAAAAAAAAAAAATCTAAAAATCCAGATTTTTCCAGGATTTTTTTCTCCTAAAGGATGTTGAGCTGTATATGTTGTCATTGAGGCTGGTTCCTCAAATGACTTGATAAGGCAGACATAAAAATTATTCTATTAGCTTGAGTAATTCTTTTTATTTATTTATTTATTTTGTTTTTGTTTTTTTTTATAATTTCAACATAGGCCTTTCAACCTGTGCCTCCTGCTGTCATTGCATGAAAAACTTTACTTTAACATCAGTATTTCAAAACATCTGTAGAATTTCAGGGTTTTAGTATTTCCAGAAGTCACTTATAATTTCCCTTTTCATTTTCTCTCACACAATCCACTTGTCTTAACTGTCAAAAGAAAATTTTTTTTTTTACATTTTCTTTTCCTTCTCCATATTTATATGATCACATTCATGTTTACAACAGCTTTAAGTTAATGTGATATTTGGCTTTTCAGAGACACTTTCAATGACTGAAAACTGCTCAACAGAAATAATTCAGTATTGCTTTGTTCTAAAAGTGAAAATAAATGAAACTTCTAAAAGCAAGCAATATAGAATTTATGTACACATAGTGTATTTGTTGTTTAATGTTAAGCTGATAGCTTTTCTATTCACTGATGTAAGGGAAAATACTTGATTAAATGTAAAATAAAATAGAAAAAAGTCTTTTTCTTTACTAAATCATTTGTTCTTTATGTTACTTTGTCATTATTATATTGACAATGCTGAATTGCAAAAATGCTTCAGTTTTATTTGTAAGCAAGATAATTGTACACAAAATCATTTTGCAGACTCATTAAAGATGTTATCATTTCAAGTTGATATTAAAGAATTTGTTCTGTTAAAATCAGTTGAAATTTTATTTATTTAAAACTGCTAATTGCCACATTATTTCAACCAGCACATAATTCATATTTTGGATTGAATAATTTCCTGTTGCATATTGATTTTTTTTTTTTTTTTTTTTTTTACTAAGGTAAGTCTAACATTATATTAACACTTTGAGCCCTGCATTCCTGAACAATTTTAACCCTTTTGCCTGAGCTCCTGAGTCAAAATTTACAAATAATTGGTATGTAATGTTTCATGGTAGATATAAAAATAGTTACAACTGTTTACCCACTGTTCAACCAGTAGCTGGATATTGTCATTTTTCTCTACCACCAGTATAAAGCGATGACTGGGCTCAAAGGGTTAAGTAGCAAATATAGTTCTCATTACTTTTGCTAGTTACTGACATACCACATAATCTCTGGGATTGAGAATATATTCTACTAGCTAAAAAAATAAATAAAAGAAAACCTTAAGTATTTTATTTTCTGTGTTATCCTTGCTAATTTATTTTGTTAAAATAAATAATTTAAAGGTAAATTAACTCTGTTTTTAATGAAACAGAAAAAAAAAAAATTCTCAAATACTTTCAACTTAAAGCATTCTCTCTTTGTGGACTAATTGCTTACTATGCACACATTTTCTGAGCCAATAAAAAAAAAATTGTCAGTAATTATAAATTCTGACCTCATAGTGTGAACTTGAAAGAATGCATCAAATGGAGAACTTTAACCAATAAAGGAGTTTTTGTGTAACTCATAAACATTATTACATTTATGGATGGAAATATTACTTATTTTTTGATATGTGTTAAGAGTTGTGGGCAGTTTGGAAATTTAGCTTCAATATTGATTTTTCTTGATACCTCAGTTTCGGTTTTTAATTTAGTATTTTTTTTTTTTTTTTTTTTTTCTAAGGAAACCATTTATTCTCTTGTATGATGATTAGTTGTTCAACATTTATTTATGCCACTATTTCAATAATGATGGGGTCAACTTTGTAATTCAATCATTTTCTATGATGCTATGAATCATGAGTTTTAAAGAGTTGATGGTTGAAATCCAACTTCTGTGATTTGTTTGAAATGGTCAATCTTTAAAATCGTGACCAGAGATTCACGAAATATTTCTGAAGAATAAAACTTTGAGGGATTAAAGAATGGAGATTCAAACTAAAATACAAATCAGAAGTGCAAGAAATTAACAACTGTAAATTTATTTGGACAAACAAAATTAAGCAAACACTCAGCATAAAATGAAAATGAAATATTGTCAAAATTAGTCAACAGATAAAAAATTTAATTTTGTCTTAGATTGTAATTGAGAAAAAACAGTTTCTCATCATGAGTAGATTTCAGCCTACATCTCCGGTCACTGACTGATGACAAGTCCAGCCTTAGTGAAAGAAAAATGGATAAAAAAAAAAAAAAAAAAATGATTCACCTAAAGTTGTTTTGTTTTTTTTTTTTTAGGCTTTAAATGACTTTGATTAAAGTTTAATCATTAAACTTTTCAAATAAATTGTCAAGTATAAATAAATACTATATTTATTAACAATTTAGTAAAATACAAAAGAAATTATCACCTAAATACCATCAGTTTTGTTTAGTTTGTGTCTTTGGATAACACATTTGGGAGAGAAAACATTATAGCTGAGATAGCTCTCCTGAAATGAGTCAGTTTATCAAGTGAGTTTTAAAAAATCAAAAAAAAAAAATAATTTAAAAAATTTGACTTAAGTCGAAACTGGCACTGGCAACTACTTTTTTTAAAAAATTTACTCGCTATTTTATTTATTTACTTTTACCAAAAGCGAACAAAATCAGTTATCAAAATGAAATGTCTAAAAAAATGTTACTTTTGATAAAAGTAAAAATTTAAATTTTTCTTTTTTTTTTTTTTTTGTAACTCTGATCTTAAATTATTTTACAATACAAATAGATTTACAACATATCGTATTTCCTTTTTTTTTCTTTTTAATGGGGAAATATTCAATGTTAAAAATGTAGATTTCTTCCTACATTTATTTCCTAAAAGTCTAAATGTTTGTGTGATGTTTGATCTTTCCTTTTACTAAAAGTACAAATGTTGATAAAATTTAATTTTATTCAAATCTGAAAGTCTTTTCCAACCATGTTTCCTTGAGTATAGTTGCTTTAAATGCTTTCAGTTTCATTAAAAAAAAAAAAAAAAAAATTGGTGCAGTTTCTGGTGTGTAGATGAAACTGGAAAAAAAAAATCAGTCCTTTGGTTAAACTGCCCTTCTCTAGTATTTGCTTAGCCTTTCATGATTTGTCTTGATTTCTAATGTTTTTGATTTATTTCTAATGTTTTTGATTCATTTTTATTTATATATATAAAAACCTTTTTAAAGCTTCTA